AGTGCATTTTCAGAGTTGTACAGTAAAAACGTATTCCCGCGTTCTGGGGCCCGACCAAATTATGGGTCTTTTGTGCGCGCTTTTATTTTGCGGAGCTGGGTTCCCCGGCGCTGCAGCGGGGCGCTCTGGTGGCGCGGTTGGCCTCGTTTCAACGCTGACCGCGCAAAAGGCAGGGCCGAACGTGATGTGCAGAGCACGTTCGCGCGCGCGGAAGAATTGTGGAGGTGCCTTCGGCGTGCCGCAAGGGCCCAGTTAAATTATTGGTTCTTGCGCGCGCAGGCGTTTATGTTGCGGAGCTGGGCTCCCTGGCGCGAACGGCCGAACGACTCCTGTCGCGGGGCGCTCTGGCAACGCGGGTGGCGCCGTGCAAATCTTGGGTTTCACGCTGGCCGCGCAAAGGCGACCGCGCAAACTCGACGACGGCTGAGCGGGCCCCGCTGGGGCCCGGCAAGCGTTTTATCTTGCGGAGCTGGGCTCCCTGGTGCGAACGGCCGAACGACCCTTGCAGCGGGACATTGTGGCAGCGCGGTTGGCCGACACAAAAATCTTGGGTTCAACGCTGACTCAGCGTGCCCAACTTCGAATTTCGTTAGGTTTTCACATCGCTAAGGCCATTTCGGCGAAATTCGTAGTTTCACCCCACAGGGCGCTCCACCAAAGGCCCCAGTGGCCGCGCCCGCGTGTGCCCCCCCCGCCCACCGCATGCACATGTCGGCGCGCCCCTCGCGCGGTTCGTGGTCTCGTAGGAAGCTTCGCCGAAGGCCCCAGTGGCCGCGTCCGCATGCGCCCTCGCCGCCCGCTGCGTGTTCATTTCGGCGCGCCCTTCACCCAAATGGAGCTCCACCGAAGGCTCCAGCGGGAGGGTTCGCATGACACCGCCGCGCCTTACTCGGCGCACCATCGCGCGGTTCGTGGCCCCATAGGGAGTTCCATCGACCAACGAAGGCTCCAGTTTCGCGTGACACCACCGCGCCCAATCCGGCGTGTTCATGGCCCCATAGGGAGTTCCGTCGAAGGCTCCAGTGGGGGGGTTCGCATCGCATTTCCGCGCCCAATCCGGCGCGCCTTCTCGGGCGTCTCGTGGCCCCACAGGATGGTCCACCGAAGGCTCCACTGGCAGGGTTCGCGTGGCGCCGCCGTGCCCATTTCAGCGCGCCCCTCGCGGGGTTCGTGGCCCCGTAAGGAGCTCCACCGAAAGCGGTGCCCACACTGCGGCACTCGCAGCTGCGTATGATTGGGTCTTTCTCCAGGCTGATTTCTTCTTCTCTCTCTCCCCCCTCCACTTTCCCTTGTTATTCTCACCAGCCATCCTGTGGTACTGGGTCCTCGTTTTGAAGAGACAGCGCCCCGCGTTCTTTCCTCCCTTCCTCTTCTCCTCCCTCTCCTCCCTTCTCCTCCACCCCCTCCACTCTCCATCCTCATCCTCATCATCGCCATGGTTCGCAGTGCCATGAGGAGCTCAGCCGAAGGCCCCAGTGGCAGGGATTACACGCGTCCCCGCGACTCATTTCGGCGCGCCCCTTGCACGGTTCGTGACCCCATAGGGATCTCCATCGAAGGCGCCAGCGGCAGGGCTTACATGCGTCGCCGCGATTCTTCTCGTCGCGCCCCTCGAGCGGTTCGTGGACGCACAAGGGGGCTCCACTGAAGGCCCATTGGCATGGTTTACATGCGCCCCCGCGATTCATGTCGGCACACCCCTCACGAGGTACGTGGCCCCATAGGGAGCTCCACCGAAGGCCCCAGCGGCAGGGTACATGCGCACCCGCGACTCACTTCGGGCCTCGTAGGGAGCTCCACCGAAGGCCTTGGTGGCAGGTTTTACGCGCGTCCCCGCGAGTCATTTCGGCACGCCCCTCGCATGGTTCGCGGCCCCTCGCAGGGTTTACTCATGTCGGCACGCCCCTCGCACGGTTCGTGGCCCCATGGGGAGTTCTGCCGAAGACCCCAGTGGCAGGGTTAACGTGCGTTCCTGCGATTCATTTCGCCACGCCCTCACGCGGTTCGTGGCTCCAAAGGGAGCTCCACCGAAGGCCCCAGTGGGAGGGTTTACATGCGTCCCCGTGATTCATTTCGTCGCGCCCCTCACGAGGTTCGTAGCCTCATGGGGGGTGCTCCGCCGAAAGCCCCAGTGGCAGGGTTTACATGCGTCCCCGCGACTCAGTCCGGCATGTCCCTCACACCGTGGCCCCATAGGGCGTTCCACCGAAGACCCCAGTGGCAGGGTTTACATGCGTCGGTGCGAATCATGTCGGCACGCCCCTCACGCGGTTCGTGGCCCCACAGGGAGCTCCGCGCAAGGGTGCCAAAGTGGAGGGGGGGTGGGCGGCATGTGAACGCAGCCACTGGGGCTTCGGGCGGAGCTCCCTATGGGGCCACGAAGCGAGCGAACGGCGGGCCAAAGTGGGGGGGGCGACGGGAGGAGGGAAGAAGCAGAGGAGGAGGAGAAAAGGAGAGGAGACGCGGGGATCGACTCTGCAAAACGAAGACCCACCACCACAAGACGGCCGGGACAAAACATCCGGAGGAATTATCCAACATCATGATTCCGGCTGGGACATCGTCATTGTTTATGAATAGAAATAAATGTATATATGCATACACACATACATGAAAACAAGTATTATATATGTATGATATAAACAAATATATACATTATTCATATCGATACATATATATATATATATAGATATATCGATTTATACATACATATATGACTGACGGACGACCCAACTTTCTGCAGCTGCGAGTGCCGCGAGGGAGATGAGACGGAGGGGGGGAGCCCGCGGTGTCCCAAGCCCCGTGCCGTGGCCCATGGAGAATGCCAGGACTCCATCATGGGCCCCAGTGGCTGCGTTCACATGCCGCCCCCCCTCCACTTTGGGCACACCCCTCACGCGTTTCGTGGCCCCATAGGGAGCTCCACGCAAGTGTCCAGTGGCTGCGTTCGCATGCAGCCCCAATTTCCATTTTGGCCCACGCCTCACGCGTTTCGTTGCCACATAGGGAGCTCCACCAGAGGCCCCAGTGGCTGCGTTCACATGCCGTCCCCCTCCACTTTGGCACACCTTTCACACGTTTCGTGGCTCCATAGGGAGCTCCACCATGGGCCCCCGTGGCTGCGTTCACACGCCGCCCCCCCTCCTCCACTTTGGCACGCCCGTCGCGCGTTTCGTGGCCCTATAGGGAGCTCCACCAGAGGTCCCAGTGGCTGCGTTCACATGCCGCCCGCCGAAGGCCCCAGTGGCGGTGCCCGCATGCGTTTCCCCAACCCAGTACAGCGCTTCGTAGCCCCATAAGGGGGCCCCTCCGACTGCCAAGAATAAGACTAATAATGATTATTCCTTACCTAGGCTCTGCCTAGAAGGGTTCTTACCCTCTGGGCTTAAAGGGCCGGGCAGTGGGCCTCGCCCCGGACGGTTCCCCCAGTATCCGCCCCGCGGTTCCCCCAGTTACGTCCCCTTAGCTTAGCGTTGCTTATCTCATCTTAGCTTAGCTAACTTAGCTTAGCTTACCTTCATCTTAACTCAGGTTTCTCTTAGCTTAGCCTAGCCTAGCTTAGCTTAGCTCAGCTTAGCTTAGCTTAGCTTAGCTTAGCCTAGCCTAGCTTAGCTTAGCTTAGCTCAGCTTAACTTATGATACATACGAAGACGAATGAAACATAATATCAACAACAACAGTAATGTTATTGTAAACACGCAGGAAAGTAGTAACCATGATACTAGTAAGAATAATCATACTAAAACTAATAATAACAATACTAATAATAAGAGGAGGAGGAGGAAGAGGAGGAAGAGGAGGAGGAGGAGGAGTAGGAAGAGGAGGAGGAGGAGGAGGAGGAGGATGAGGAGGAGGAGGAGGAGGCTCAGATGATGCGGACCCACTCCACGGGTCCTTGCTGCGCTGGGCGGGCGGCCGTGCGCGTCCCAAAGGAATCAACACCTGCCCAAGACGGAGCGAGAGCCAGAGGCCCCTCCAAAGGGCCATGGAAGAAGGGCCTACCAAGGGCCGAAAAGCGGGAACCGCGAGGGCGACCCAGGGACCCAGCCACGCTTTCAGGTCTCCCGATAAGGCCTTGACGGCGTGGGGAAAGCACAGGTGCCCCAGTCCGTGCCGCATTTCCGAGCATCTTGAGCTGCTCGTTCGTGAGGCCCTCCAAATAGGTGTTCTCCGGCTCCTTCGAATCGTAGGCGCCCCCCTGCTCAGCAACCTCGTCGAACCTGAACTCTTCGCTTTCGCTGTCGGGAGTTTCGTTGTCAAACACCCCCTCGTCTGGCTCCTCCAACTCCTTGAACTTGTTCGGAACCTTCATAGCGTATTCGACCTGAATATTCATGATATCCTCGGTCACTTTCCCGACCTTCGCGTCAGAGGTGGGCAGCTCGCATTCAGAGTCCTTCCTCTCGGCTATCGGCTGCACCTCCACCTCCGCATTGATCTTCGAGTCGCTTTCCTCGCCTCTGCCCTGCATGCCGAAGGTGGACAGCTCGCACTCAATCTCCGACGGCTCGAACGCCACGTCGATCTCCGAGTCGAGGTCATTGGACCCAACCTCCAGAGGATTCGGTCGCTGGTCCTTCTACCCAACACCCGTGCGCGAGTCGCCGCCTCACTTCACTGGCTCCTTCGCCGACTCCAACACCTGTGCCATCGTGTTGAAGACGTCCATAGGCTTGCCGTAGAAGGCAATAATCTTGACGATCTTGAGGCCGCAAAGCAGCCATCGGAGACGCCTGCGGCCTCCAGCTCCTTGGGGGAGGAGGAGGAAGAGGAGGAGGAGGTGGCGGAGGCGGAGGAGGCGGAGGAGGAGGCGGGCGGGGGAGGAGGAGGAGGAGGAGGAGGAGGAGGAGGAGGAGGAGGAGGAGGAGGAGGAGGAGGAGGAGGAGGAGGAGGAGGAGGAGGAGGAGGAGGAGGAGGAGGAGGATGAGGAGCAGGAGGAAGAAGAGGAGGAGGAGGAGGAGGAGGAGGAGGAGGAGGAGGGTTGGCCTTGGCAGGGTCAGGAGGAGGGGAAGCTGCCTCGCCTGGCGGCCCAGAAGCGCGCGCGCGGGGGAGTGCAGCCCCTTCGCGCCCCGGCAGGCTCAGCGGGCCTGCCCGCGGCGCGCCGCCATGATCCAGGTGCCAGACATGCTTGATTGCGGGAGCCTTCCGGAGATCGGGCGACGAGAGCAGCTCGTCGCCACCCGAGACGGGTACCCAGTAACGGGTACTTCGGCAGCGCGCAGGAAGGTGCAGGAAGGTGCGGCAGCAGGAACATGGCATTTTCGTGCGGGATGGTGTTGGGACGCGGAAGGACAGCGCCACATTTTCTGCATCGACCGAAGTCCCCATGTATTGAGTATCCCTCAGGGTGGCCCTGCACAGCGTATATGATCCCGGGCTCCGGGCCCACGGGCCCCCCCCCCCCCCCCCCAGATGGCATGGTCCCAGGAACTTTCGGGCCCCCCCCCCAGATGGGATGGGGGGGGACGACGACGACGACGACGACGACGACGACGACGACGACGACGACGACGACGACGACGGCGGCGGTGGCGGCGGCGACGACGAAGACGCCCGCTTCGGCTCCCTGAAGCACTGCAGCACCACGCCACACCCAGAGGGAGGCGACGACGGGGAAGACACCGTCGACGACGATGCTCCTCCTCCTCCTCCTCCTCCTCCTCCCTCCGTCCGCCTCCCCTTCCCCACTCCTCGTTCCCTGGCCTTCTCTTCCCTACCTTGCCCCCCCCTCCCACTTCCTCTCCCCATGTATCCGCCACTCTCCGGAAGCAGAGGACGACGACGATGGCGAAGACGCCGACGATGTCGTCCACAGGGGGGCCACCACCCCCACAGGGGGAGGGCCACCATGCCACGCCCACGGGGGGGGGCATCGCGCGGGGGGGGGGCCCGATGGCATTAGCATTGGGGGGAGGGGCCCAAGCCCTGGACCATACATGCCCACTGACCCTGGCCAGGCGTTGGCCCAGGATCGGTGCATATGCCGCTCTTGCCAAGCTAGGAAGGCGTGCGCACCGAGTCCTAGGCTCGTGTCGGTCTTGGCCAGGGTCGGTGCATTTGCGTAGCTCTCGTCCCTTCAGGAGTGGGGCTCGTTCCGCTGGGCGGTCTCCTCGGCGGTGGCCGCGGGGTTCGAACGCTCGCCGCAGCTGGAGGCGCAGGCATCGGAGCTCGAGGAGAGGTGGCGGCCCTGGGTGTGCGAGAGTGCGGATGACCCCGACGCCTGCCGTGCGGGCGTGGGCATGCCAGGCTTCGGCTTCATCCGCGACCTGGAGCGGGAGTGCCGGGACTCGAACAACTTCGAGCGCTACCTTCTGCGACATTTCTTCGCGAACACCGGCAAGGTGTTCGAGCCATTGCGGGCGCCCTCTGGCTTCTGCCTCTACGGGTACCTGACGGCCCTGGTCGTGCTCGCGTGGCACGCCCTGCCAGACCACGAGGGCGAGGCGCTGCGGTATTTCGCCCTGGCGCAGCACTTTGTTGGCCACTACCACTGCTTCGACTTCCTGGAGTCATCCACCTGGCCCGTGACGTCGTTCCTTGTCCTGCTGAACATGCAGGCGGGCAGCAGCTTCCTGGCCCTGCCCGAGCCCCCCGGCCACACGCACCCGGGGCAGCTGGGGGCGGACTTTTACCTCGAGAGGCTCAGGTGGCGGGGCACCTCCGAGGCGCGGAAGCCGAACCCGGGCGCCGCGCCGTACCTCCCGCTGCCGCTGGACCGGGCGCCCGCTGGCTGGCGCGGGCGCGGCGGCGGGCCTGAGCGGCCCCGCGTGTCCGTGTGGCAGTTCTGCATCCATACGTCGACCGCGGGGGAGGCGGTCACCATGATAGGCTCGGCCCCGGGGGCAGGGCAGGGAGCGCGGGTTTGCCGTCGCCGTCACTGGTCGCGTCGGCAAGCCGACAAAGCAAAACTTCCAGAATCTGGGAAAACAGCATCAGGAAAATCATTGAATTTCGCCTCGTGGGGCCTCTTGGAGGCCTCTTGGGGCGTCTTGGAGGCATCGTGGGCCGTCTGGAGGCTTCGATCTTTCGGCGACTCGCAGCATTTTTGGACCATCTTGGGGGCACTCTTGGCCCGTTTTTGGGCCATCTATCCCCCATGGCGCGGTCGCGTCGGGCCAGAGGGGGTTCAAACTTTTGGATTGGGGGCCCAGGGGGGACTATGGGGGGGGCGGGTCTCACACGCCTAGAGACCCACAAGGGGTAGGCGGATGTCATAAGAACGGTGATCGTACAGCTTGATTCGACCGATTCGGTTCGTTATCTCACCCAGCATCTTGTCCACCTGGCCCGATGCTATCGTGCTCAGCAGAGATTGCAGCATGGCAAATTGGGTGGCTCTTTCCATTGGCCCCCCTCGCTTGCAAAGATGTTTCAGAGCTCCAATCCATTGCTCTATTCTGTTTAGAGGATGAGGGGTCTCACTCGCTGGAGGAACATTCGCCAAGATAAGCGCCACCCTGCTTGACTCTGCCTGCTCGTCCTCACTCAAGCAGTCCAAGCGAAGCGGCTCCTGCAGGGCCTTCTGCCGCGTCGCCTTGCTCGGCAGGGCTGTTTTTTTTGTGGCTAGATGCGCCGATCATTCGAACTTTTATTATTGTCACTCTCTTTGGTTATCGCTGAGGGATTTGATATCTACCTGGCCAGCAGCCGCAGCTGCCATCAAGACGCACAATTAATAATCCCGCAAAGCCTGTCACACAACTTCTCCCCATCATGCAAACTCCGGGGTGAGCAGGAGGAGGAGGAGGAGGAGGAGGAGGAGGAGGAGGAGGAGGAGGAGGAGGAGGAGAAGGAAGAAGAGGAGGAGGAGGAGTATGAGGAGGGGAAATAATGCCGTCTACTCCTCTTGCTGCTGCTGCTGCTCCTTCTGCTCCCTTGCCCCTCTTCCTGCAACAAGTGCACATACTGAATACTTCTCTCATCTCCCTCGTAACTCCTGCCCCCTGTCCGCGTAAACGTATACGTTTCCGTTTTTCATGCGTTACTATCCGATTTTTTGTTTTAAAATCAGATTGCAGTGGGTGTTTCGAAATGGTGAACCCGCTGCAGCGTGGGCCTCATTTTCGGATCGGCTCTTTTCGCCTGTCGTTCAGAATGGCGCTGTTGCCCCATCGTGGGCAATTTTTCTGGGTTCGAGTCCTTTTTCATCGTTGTCGCCCGTCTCATTTCCCCGCCGCATTCCCCTGGTTCTCCTGCTCCTCCCATTTCTTCTGCTCCAGTTCCTGCTGCGGCTGTTCGTCCTCGTCCTCCTTCATCCTCCTCCTCCTTGTCCTTCCGCTCATCTTCCTGCTCACCCGCCACCTTCTCCTCCTCCTCCTCGTCCTGTGTACGCAGTTTCGTTTTTTTCGATTGTAGAGGCCTCGGGCCTGTGCCGCCGATTCGGGGCGCTTCGTGCGAGCTCGTCATGTTTAATAGCTGGTGAACTGTACCTCGGGAAGGCAGGAGGGAGCATGAGTGGGGAGGAGGAGAAGCAGAGGGACTGCGCCGCTGGTACCTTCGGTGAAACTCCTTATTGGGTCACGAAGCGTTGTGCTGTGTTGGGGGACCGCATGCGGACTGCGCCAGTGAGACCTTCGGTGGAGCTCCCTTCTGGGGCCACGAAGCTCTGTACTGGGTCGGGGAACGGCAGGCGGATTGCGCCAGTGGAACCTTCGGTGGAGCTCCCCATGGGGTCACGAAGCGTTGTACTGGGTGGGGGAACCGCATGCGGACTGCGCCACTGGGACCTTCGGTGGAGCTCCCTCTGGGGCCACGAAACGCCGTACTGGGCTGGGGAACCGCATGCGAACTGCGCCACTGGGCCCTTCGGTTGAGCTCCTTCTCGGGCCACGAAGCGCCGTACTAGTCGGGGGAACCGCATGCGGACTGCGCCACTGGGGCCCTCGGTGGAGTTCCCTATGGGGCCATAAGCGCTGTACTGGGTGGGGGAACTGCATGTGGACTGCGCCACAGGTACCTTCAGTGGAGCTCACCCTGGGGCCACGAAGCGTTGTGCTGTGTTGGGGTACCGCATGCGGACTGCGCCAGTGGGACCTTCGGTGGAGCTCCCTCTGGGGCCACGAAGCGCTGTACTAGGTTGGGAAGCCGCATGCGGACTGCGCCACTGGAACCTTCGGTGGGGCTCCCTCTGGGGCCACGCAGCGCTGTACTGGGAGTGGGAACCGCATGCGGACTTCGTTGGAACCCCCTCTTCAGCCACGAAGCGCTGTACTGGGCGGGGGAGACGCATGCGAACTGCGGCGGAGGGAGGAGGGAGGAGGGATGAGGGGGAGGAGGGAGGAGAGCGAGGAGGAAGGAAGGAGGAGGGACGCGGGGCTCCGTCTCTTCAAAGCGAGGACCTAACAGTACATGACTGTTGGGAAAATCAACCCGCCTGAGGCTTGTGACACTTTTGTGGACATTTGTAACACGAGTGTGCGCGGCTCACAAGCGAGCAGCACATTTCAGAAACGATCCATCTTCAATGTGTGAATTTGCTGCCAGCTTTTGAGCTTCAGGCTCATACGTGGTAAGGAATTCTGAGGCGAAACGCCCGGCCCGCCCTTCCGACTGGCTTATAAGGAATATATGCGGAGGAGGACGAGGAGAAGGAGGAGGAAGATGATGATGAGGAGGAGGAGGAGAAGAAGGAGGATGAGGGGGAGGAGAAGGAGGAGGAGGAACGGGAGCAGGAGGAGGAGGAGGAGGAGGAGGAGGAGGAGGAGGAGGAGGAATACAGTGAGGAGGAGGATGATGACAAACAGAAGAGGGATGAGGAGGAGGCGGAGGAAGAGGAGGACTACGACGAGCTACAATAAACATACTGCTTGTAATACGGCTACTACTGCTACTACTACTGCTACTACTACTACTACTGCTACTACTACTACTACTACCACTACTACTACTACTACTACTACTACTACTACTACTACTACTACTACTACTACTATTACTACTACTACTACTACTAACATTCAAACGAGCAGTCATAGTAGTGTTAGTACTACCAAGAACAACAAGACTATTGCGAGTACAAATGTTAATGCCATTAATCGTACCATCACTACGGGCAGCTATGAATAGTACAAGTACCAAGAATAATTTTACCACAAGTCGTACTATTACGAATACACATAACACCAACATGTCGTACATCACACATGCTAGTAATACTAGGGATACCACTACTACTCATACCACTAGCAAGAAAGCATTACTATGATTATTAACATCACTTTTCAGGTTAAACAGAATAGCACTACTAGGATCTCATAGTCTCAATAATACGACGTATCAGAACAATATAACTAATTCGTACGAAGAACAATATTATCATTGCTAGTACTCATACTAGTTTTAAGAAGAAGGCGAATCATACTATGAAGAAGAAGACGGCCCATACTATTAAGAAGAAGACGAGAAACACTTACTATGAATAATGTTCATGATGCTACTGCGAATGCCAATGCTACAATTTTCACGATTATATGACTACGCAATCATAATAATAACATTTATAATACTGTTATGAGTAAGTTCAATTTTATTTACATCGATATGAATACCAATTCTAAACATATTAATACTTATACGAGTTATAGGAATGAGAAGAATAATAGGCCTACTACTAATAATATTTGCTATACATTATAAACATGAAGAATCATATTAATATGAATCACGAGAATAATACGAATGACCATAATAGTCAGAGTGAGGGGGCCGAACGGTCATTCATTGTCCTTGGGTGCGTGGCTGAATAGGAAACTCGTGGTGAGAATTCTGCTCGTTGCGTTGTTGTTATTGTTGTTGCTGCTGTTGTTGTTGTTGATGTTTTTGTTGTTCTTGTTGTTTGTTGTCGTCGTCCCACCCGCGACCCCCACCCCCGAACCACCCCGCGACCCACCCCGCGACCCACCCCGTGACCCACCCCGCGACCCATCCGCGACCCATCCGCGACCCAATTCGCGACCCATCCGCGACCCACCCCGCGACCCACCCGCGACTCACCCGCGACCCACCCGCGACCCGCCCGCGACCCACCCGCGACCCATCCCGCGACCCACCCGCGACCCACCCCGCGACCCATCCGCGACCCACCCCACGACCCACCCGGGACCCACCCCGCATCCCACCCTCAAGGGAGGAAAAACCACCCGGACCCGACAAGTGACGTTTGCTGAACAGGCTTGGGCATTTACTAAGCAGTCTTGCCCTGTCCGAGTCATTCCTTTATCTTTTGTGCGTTTACTAAACGGCTTCGCTTGTCGGGGTGATTTTTCTGGGGTGAAGTTTCTGCCCTGTACACCCGCGACTCACCCGCGACCCAACAACGATCCATCCGCGACCCACCCACGACCCATTTGCGACCCACCCGCGACCCACCCGCGACCGACCCACATTGGTTTAACGAAAAAACGGCGCCTGCGGCGGGCTCGTAGTATAATTTGAAATTTTAGAGCCTGCGGCGGGTTTCTACATAATCTCGCAAACTGCCCACGTCACCAACGCCCCTTCACTCTTTTCCGCATCTGCGGGGTGCTACGGGTAATCGTTTTCAATGTTAGTAAATGTAATACGAAGAATAAAATCAATGAAAAGTAATAGTGATAGTCATAAAAAGAGGAATAATAAGACTAACACTATTAATAATAATAGTAAGAGTAATATTCGTAGTAAGAAGAATGAGGACCATATTCGTAGTAAGAAAAATAGAATTCATAGCAATAATAAGGGAATAATGGTGGCACGAATAACACGAATCATGCAATTACAACGACTAAGAATAATCCGAAAATAATCGTAACCAAACCATTGATGGTAAACATACAAAATCAGATGGATCT